AGACGTGTGCTCTTCCGATCTCCCCAAAACCCCAAAACCCCATAAAGGATAGATCAATGGATTAAATAAATATGGGAATTTGATAAATTATATTCAATTATTATTGATTAAATGACAACATTAAAGCATCGGTATCAATTGCTAGAAAAAATTTCAGAAAATTAGTAATGTACTATACACAAAGGCTTTGACAAGAAAAAAGATCGAAATGTCATAGTGAAAATAGTAAAATATCTTAATTTTTCCATAATATATATTTATAGTACTTTGATATAGAAAATAATAAGCAATCTTTATAATAATACAAATGAGAGACTGAATTTTACAAGACGACTTATAATGCTAAAATAAAAGGATTCCCAGTATTTTATGCAAATGGGTCGATTAAACAAAGCAAGAAGTTCATGGTATTATCGAGACATGGTTATGACCTTCATACCATCCATAAAATATGCGGCTTCAAATTCACGTACAAAACAATCTTAAATATAGGAATTGAAATGGTAAGTAACCCATATGCATCCTCATTTATTTATATCTCTTTTATAGCTTGATAGAGTTGAAAAAGTACATCAATTTTGCTTCATTTATAACAACTTTACTCCTCACAATATTTTAATTCCACTACTAAGTGATATTGATTAGGGTACCTTATATATGGTAGATTTTCGAAAATGCAGAAAATTCGATGAGTCCCCAACATTTTAGAACGAGATTATCTAAGCAAAATTGGACGATCTTGAGTCTTTATTTTTTATGCTGTGCTATTTGGTAAAGGGTTAACTACCATGGAGTAAGCCAGGCTAAACTGGGCAAGAAATATTCAAGAAAGAAGCTAGGAGTAAAATAAGAGTTCAATAGCTCTAGGATTACTTCATAGACATGGACGGTAAGTTTTTTATTTATTAATTGTTATAATAGAGGATTTTATCAAATTTTTTAGATAGCTAAAGCACTTAGAAAGAGTTTATAAAAACAAACAATAAAATGATGATTAAAGGTCTCTGAAATACTTTGCGGAAGACCCCTTTAACAATAATTAATAATTGACAAAGATAGACTATAGTAAATTCAGAACCATACTTTTTGAAGCACTCTACAAGCACTAAAGTGATAAACCCTACAGATTTGATTGGTACCCGGTATTAACTAAAATTCAAAGGCATAACAGGAAATAAGGATAGACTAATAATCTTAATAACAGTGTGTAATCAGCGAAAGGAAGGTCTAATAGTAATTCTAAGCCAGTTAATAAAACAGCATCATTAATATATCAAAGGTATGCTTCTGCTTCGTTTAAAAAAGGAAATCCAAGTTAAAATGAGGATGGAATTGAAAGTGAATCTTCTTATCGAATATAATCAAACTCCTAATAAAATATAAAGCCAGAAGATCATTAGAATTCTCTTTAGATCCGTAAAATGAATCCAAATTTATTGTATCCCTCTGAGTAATTCAAGCAATTATTTGATGGATTAATACCAGATGATATAAAGTAAGAGTAAATGCAACAATAATAACAATTTTTAAATGTCAAGAGTTCAAAATTTAAGTAGCAAACTCAACCTAGATCTTTAAGATTAAAAAGAGAGCGATCAAGGAGCGTAAAATATGATGATGAGAATGAGTAATACAAGCCACTCATTGATAATTTAGATGATATTTTTAGTGATCTAGATAAAAAGTAAGATGATTATATGAGGATAAGGACGAAACAAGAATAACCTCATTTATTCCATAGCCCTTCCTTTTCTCAAAGTGATATGGATTAATTTTCAGCAGATATAGCATCACCTGCACTTATTGGGGAAAAAAAATCATTTATGTTAGGAGAGTTATTGCGACCTGCAACTTAGCAAAATGATCCCGACTAACAATCAGCCTCAATATCTAGGGATGATAATCAAGCTGGTGATTCAAGTATTCAAGAAGCTGGTGAAGAGAGTAAGGAAGAAATAGTAAAGAGCTAATTAGATTTCAGTGCTATTTACTCAAGTGAAGATGATTTTTAGTTAAAATTTGAGTAGAACAAAAATAAGAATTAAAAGCAAAGAAAAGTATCTTAATTCGGCGATCCAAATAGAAAAAATAAGATCTCACTGGAAGAGGAGGAAAGCAAAAGTTTAAACTTTATGCAACAGAATTTACAAAATATAATCAACTAATAAGACCTTTAGTATGAAGAGTGTAATTCATATACTATAGATTAATGTAGTATCGGGGAATTTGATGAGGGATTGTCTCAAGACGATTGTATTATCCCTCATTTAGAAACTAAATCAAATGTAAAATGGATGAAAAGGTAAGAAGAGTCTAAATAAAGTTAAGTTAGCTCTCTAAATGCTATTTAACCCTGTAAATAATAACCTCAATTTAAAGAATCAAGTTTCTCTTTCAAGGGAAAATTCAATAATTCTATCATGAAAAAATGAAGTCCTAAAATAGTTTTGTAATATTTATTTTTAATTTGATTTCATAAATACAACATTTTTACAATCAATTGAATTGCATATTGGGGTTTTGGGGTTTTGGGGAGATCGG